GATGGCTAGTCCAGTAGGGCATCATGTGATGTCCGTAATACGGGGAATTTCCCACTATCCTTCCTATTGGGAGCAATAAACCTGTTAAACCATGTCGGAAGACTTAGGAGATACCCAGTTACTGCCACCCAAGCAACCCTAAGGTGTGCCTAAAGAGCCCGATTCAGATCAAGTCGAGCGTGCTACACGGATAATCTAACTTTGGTCAAATGGCACGTTCCCCGTAAGGTATCGCGGGTCAGAAATTCGCCACAGGTGGAGGTTCGCAGAATAAGAGATAGCATACATCGTTACCCACGGAATCAGAGAATATAGTTGTCTACCTCGTCTCCAACCCGCTCTGGAGCCGTGAAACCTTCTTGTGACAGGAACGCTTTTCTCCGATCCGCATCCACGGCTTTTTCAATTATCCTCTTGGTCACGTCGTTCTTTTGCTGTATACGGATACTAGTGCTCTTCCGTTTTATACTCTTTGTTTTTGGTCATAACGGGTCTGCGGATTGTCCCTGATATTTCATTCCGGCTCGGTACGCTCTGACCGCAGTATTTTGTGGTCCTTGTATAATTTTCTTATAACCGAAGAACAACTTCCTGTTGACGATACACAGGAAACCTACGTACCACAACAGTTCCGAAATGTAATCATGTTGCGGTTACGAACCTGCCATTACTTTGTCCAAATGAGTAGTCATGATAGAGCAGCCAAAACCGGCACAGGCGGGGACATAGTAGGTATAAAAACTGAAATCGGTTACCAATCTGACCTGTGATCAAGTATTAAAGAGTTTAAGTGATTGTCCGGAAATTTCCAATTCAACTTTTTTACTTTTATTATATATAACCTTTCACGTTGATTTGTTTCATCGACTTGTAAAGTTACTCGTTTTCTGTATCTATTTGTCACAGCTACGATTCTGCATTTGCGCCTTCTAACCAAACTGGTGTTGACAAGGAGTTGCAAACATTTCTACAAGTGACACAACAGCGTGCCGAATTCCAGAGTCAAATAAATCGATTAACTTCTCTCTGTTGGGATCGCTGCATCACCGGATATCCCCCATCAAAAATGGATGCGAAGCAAACTACTTGTTTTGAAAATTGCACAGAACGTTACTTTGATGTTTCTGTTCTTCTGCGTGATCGTTTTCAGTCAATGCTATCAAAATTACAAAGTCACTAGTGTTTATAAATAATGATTTGTCTAGCTTTTTACGAGATCAACACATTTTCACAGTTTGTATATAGCTACCAACTGTAGAATGATTCAAATAAACGATTCTCGCATGAAGGCTTCTCGCATAACCCCACAGGGGTGTTCTGTGATAGGCTAGGCGAAATATTTATTTATATACTGCTAATGCTAGGTTTCCCAAATAAGATGAGCAGCCCACTTAGGAAGAGATGATTGCAGCGTCACAGCATCTAAATACATATATCTTACCATCAACATTTTAGTACGACGGGATTAGCCCTGTAGTCTCAGGGATCTACTGTTCGAATATAAAAACCGACAGCATTATCCTTGAAAATCTAGCAGCATAAACATGAAATTTTATGGGTCAAGTTGTTTGAGATCGAGATGCAATACGTCAGTCTGCCACCAATGCTGGAAAACACTTTTGTAGCAGACGTGGTTTTTTTAACTGAAAGGTCGTGTATACTGCACCAGTGTGCGGTTAGTTCTGCTTTACTAATGCAAGCCCCTGAATTTACGCATGGAGGATATTCGTCGTGTAGAAAGAAGTCTTCGACTACCAATGTTTACATAGTTGGTAATGCTTCAGAGAAAAATTCATCACATAGAATTCTGATGAGTAGGCTTCGCTGGTTAAGACACGTATTGCGCATACTGAGCTATCGTCTACCGCACCGCGCTTTATTCGCACTCGCGGCTCCAGGATGGAAGAAACCATTTGGAGGTCGACAGACGAAGTAGAAACGAGACATTCGATAGAATAGGTCTTTCGGTTTAGTGTCCAAAAGACTGCAACTGGCAACTAACTGACAGCAATGGCATTCTTGTTGTCATCTCTTATCAGGTCCGAATGCTTGAAAAGGTATGTATACACAGTGGGGTTTTGCACTGTGTATTGACCATAGAGGTTAACTTTCTTTGCCTCTCTCCATCTAGTACTTGATCAGTTAATTTGTGAGTTTGGAAGCGATCGGTGAAGTTAGCTTTACTGTACCTCGTCGTACGATGATGAAGATTGCTGAATGTTCGCGAGGCTTACATGACGGATTTCGATGACCAATGCACCTACTCATTATCCTGGCAGCCTTAGTCTTCATGAAATCTTTATTTTCTCTCCCCAATCACGACGTGACTGCATATTGACGTGGTAGACGGCTTGTGCAGCTCTATGATCCAACAAGCTACACAGGATGACTCCCGTTAAGTCTAAGATCTAATCATACCAGGAGGATCGAACGGTAAAGGGCAGATAAAGTCCAGTCCCCTAGTCCTCCAGATAGGGGGCGCGATTCAAAATGATATATCAGTCCGTAAAATGGCAGAGGAGTAATCGGTCCCGTTGGCTTCCGGTCAGGTTGGTTGAGCACCTTAATTCTCCTGCTTAGTGCCTGGACACTCTAGCAGTATCCTTCAATAAACTTGTCTGGCGTGTGCAGTGGAATCCTCAACAATCGATGTCTGCTGCGTATCGGAGACCCGAATTCAGGATACTACCACCATATACCGCTTAAGTGCAACG